GAAATAACCAAACAATACTTCTTTACCCACAGATAATCCCCTTCAGAACAAAACAATAAACAAGCAAAGGAAAAAAAAAAGGCAAACTGTTCAGTTTGTGCACTTTGGTGCAATTCCAACCACAGTCAACAGGGGGTGCCGTTGAGTCACTGGAGATGCAAAACTTGTAGTGTCCTGTGCCAGTCACCAGGGGGCGACGTTGGATCGCGGGAGATGCAGAGCCTGCAGTTCCTAATCTGTCCAGCAGGGGGCGCTGTGGAATCACTGGTCATTGCCATGTGGGGGTAACACCCTCCGGGGTGTGTTGGAGAAACCAAAAAAAAATGGGTTCCCCTTCCCCCCCCACACTCACTGGGAAAGGGGAGAGAGAGAGGGGGAAGGGAAACAACAACAAAAAGAAAGTCCTCCCAATGAAAAAAACTAAACTCACTGTTCGGCTGGTCGACTTGTGCAGCACAGTCCTCTCTCTCCCCGTGATGTGCATAAGGACCACCGCCAGGAAAAAAAAACAAACAACAGGAACACGGAAAGGGGAAAAAAATCTTCCAGAAAATAGTTTCTTCTCTGATGAAAAATAAAAAAAAATCCAAGCAGGTTCAACCAGCTGACAAGGGGCTGAGGGCAGAGAGAACCATCGAGCTTCCACTCTGACTTGTGTTCCAGCCACAGCCAGCACAAAAACTCCTCCCCCCAATTCCCAGGAGACAAGAGAAAAAACTAAAGAAGAAACCCTCATCTCCCCCATTTCCTAGGAGACTGAGTTCTGAGCAATTAACCAGAGAGCCAGTTCTTTTGTGACTCTTAAGTGATCACTTAATATCTCTGCAGGCAGTGGGCAGGGGGAAGGGAAAAATTCCTACTTAGTTTCTAGGAACCAGTAAAACCTTGACACCCAGTCTTTGTAACTGCACTGAGACTGTGGCCCTGTGACTGCACACAGATCTCTAATTCTCCCCAGGCTCATTCCCCAAGCTCTGTGTGTTGCTCTGCAGGCAGTTCAGGGCTAATGGAGCAGGCAGGTTTCCCAGGAGGGGTGCAAGAGGATGCCCCACAGCCATACACACCCCTGAGGTGCTTGGCCTTCTGTTCTCATCTTGGGAGGCCTGTAGGGAACATTTGTCACTGCTCTGGGTGTCCTG